AAATGAAACTAACCCAATCCCTTACCTACAGTCAAATAAAAAAGTATGGAATCCTTATTAGTTCGAGTCTACAGTTTTCTATGAATCCCGATTAATGTTTAGATAATTTTCTCGTTTATAAATAAATATACGTAGGTTAAATGACGAATATTTTTGAAAATAATTAAAATACAAAATCAGACCGAGATTTACCATAGACACGCGATCCCGGTTATTGAAATTGCCACGTGCCACCACAAATGTGTCCCTAGTTCACAACGTGCCATTGTCGAAGCGCTCCGCTGGACCACTGCTGGATCACCACATGCTACCACAGACCATCGTGAATCGATCGAAATTTACCGTGAAATGTTTCGTGCACACAAATCTAGTGCGTACATGGTGAAATTGCACCAGAAGGAGCTAAGAATATGCAAAATTGTATGGCTAATCACTGCGGATCTCCTTCTTCTTCAGATGCAAGCCGTTGCACGATTCTCTCTCTGGTTTCCGATCGAGTAGGTCGTCAACCGCTTAGACTCCTCGGTTCATCGTGAGAGCCGTGCACCATCATAGGCTGCCTCGCTTAGGTCGGTGGTGGCCACAACCCCAATTTCTTCTCTCTCTCTCTCTCTCTATACAGAGATCTCTTTCTCTCTCTTTGCACCACTCTCCCTCTCCATGGCTCGCTCTCTCCATTTTTATAGTTGGAGAGAGGAGAGCCCCATACAGGCCTTCTCCCTCCTTCAGTGGAGAGAAAAGGCGTACACACCTCTTCTTCTTCTTTTTCTTCAGCGGCCAGAGGCGTACACGCCTCTGTTTGCCCTTTTTTATCACTAAAACGACATTATTTTGATGCTTTTAATATGATGTCGTTTCACCTACTTATCGAAATGGTGTCGTTTTGGGCTTTTCATGCTTCTAAGAAGCAGATTGGTTGGGTTGTTCCTCTTGAGCCGGGTTGTTACAATCTCTCCCCCTTTAAAATAAATGTAGTCCTCCAAATTTACTGTGAGCAAGTGGGTTGAAGACATTCTTGCTCGTTTTCAAGTTTCCTCTTTAACCTAAAGGTTTTGTTATAATGTTTTTTACTAATGGGATCTTTTTAGTTCATAGTCAATTCTTTTCTAAGTCCCATAAGTAAGGTAAAGTTATTAAGAGTTTGTATTATAAATTTAATATTTTTATTTATTTATTTATTTATTCATTTCCTAATTTTTTTTTCAAATTTGATGACTTGATGCCTACTTAGATTATCCTTTAACTAACTCGTATAGTTCTTCTAATTTCGTCAAATACTAAAAATTCCTAATAGACTCCTCATTCTCTATTCTTCACACGGACGAGTTCTTAATTACCTGAATACCTCGACACTATGGTATGTTACCTTCTATCAAATTTCATGTCTTAAGTGAAAATCCTTTGTTATCTGATTTCCAAAAATTACCTTTAGTACTGAAACTTCCTCATCTTTACTCAGTGGGTTTGGTGCTTAAATAAGTTACTCTCTAGTTTAGTCAAATCGTACTACTACCATATCAAGGTTTGAATGATTTCTAAGGCACCTTAGCACTTGATCGGATTTTTCTTAAGGTCCTTTTAAGTAAGTAGTTATGAAATTCATACACTTAGTGAAATTTATTAAGAGTCTTTGATTGAGAGGTCATATAATGGCGTAGCTAAAATGATTATACTCTCTACCTATTCCATTCCTTTTATGGTTAAATACTACACCTTTCACTTCCCAATGTTGCAAGTGATTATTCTTAGGTATGACACTAAGATATGACTCGTGGTTTTATCGTATTCTCATTTAGTCTTTGTTGACTTGAAAAATATTCCTTCATGTGTTTAATTTTTAATTTGAGGGTGTCTATTTTGAAGATTCATCTTGATATATTGGTATAACTTATAAATTTTACATTCCAATTTAAGAATAAATAAACGATATGCGAGGGTTAGTCACACTAACAGTGTTGTTATTAAAAAATATCATCATAATTAATGGCTACTTAAGGGTTGGTTAGGTTAATTTTGGTCATCTGAATTTACTATTAGTCGTACAATATTTAGAAATTTGCCTTTTAGGAAGGTTGGTTTGTAGTATCCTAATCGAATATCAATCTTATAAAATATTAGATATATAGTTGTCTTCTCTCCTTTTTCTTAGCATACTTTTACAAATGGTTGAGAAAAT